GATCTTCGTAGCGTAGCTTGCAATCAACATGCAAAGCAGTCAATGCAATATCATAAAAATACTTTATTGACATAAATAGTGCTAATATATAAAATAATTATGAGATATTTGAGGAGTACTATTCCCAGGTGGCTAACATACTTCAGAGGGGCAAGCTTTGGTGGACAGCCATTGCAGGAGAGAGGGTGTTGCCAGGGTGCCCATGTTTTCTGAATGGCCTTGTGCAAGGGATGTATCCGGCAGGAAGTGATGAAAGGAAGCCAGCGAAATCCTTGCGAGTGAGAGTCCTTCGCCTCAATAAATAAAAAATAAATAATAGGACGGACGTTCCTGGTTTTGATATTCACAGTAGGAAACTGATTCACCAACAGGGATCTTCAGATAGAAGAGATGTCCGGCACTCCTGCTTTAATCCACTCACCTCTTTTTACTCTCCCGTAGCTGAAAACGGAACCCAGACATCCCAAGTTCCAGTCCTGTTCTGCTCTAACCACTAGTCTCTACCCGCCCCTCCGCTTGAGTTAGTGGCCAGCTTGAGTTCTGGGACTCATCTCTGTTTGGAATTTCTGCCTTCTGTCCTGGAGAAGCCAGCCTCTTGAACCCCCAGGGGGTTGAGAGGGCAGGCTAGAGTTCCTCAGCGATATGGGAAATTGCACTCTGCATAGTCTCAGAGGCTGTTACGACTCCACAAGTTTGTTCACAGTGGCACTGCAGAATGGGGGGGAGAGGGACGGGGTCCCAGAGCTGTGCTCTGATGATTCTTGGCCCGGATAAAGCTCAGATGTTGGTGCTAGAGGTCAGGAGGTCTCTGAGCTGAGCAGAAGGGCCATCCAGAGCAGGAGGCCTGCTGAAAGCAAAACAGGTCCAGCCGTGAGATTGGGGCAGGCTTGGCTCCTGGCCGAAGGTTTCAGGGTGGTCTCGTCAACAATCTGGTTGTTGCAGAGCTTGCCGGTGCAGCAGCGGGTATAGGGGGCCCCCAGGTTCTTGTAGATGGAGGTGTAGGGGCTGTTGCACCATGAAGAGGAAGCGCAGCCCTTGACGATGGAGCTCTGGCCGGAGACACCTGAGTGGAGAAACAAACAAGGCATGAATTCAAAGAACCTCCAGGGGCCTTATTCTGCCTTCTGCTCCCAACTCCCTGCCTAGCATTGCAAGCACCGCCTTGGCAAATACAAAATATTTCAAGTGTGGTACCCAGGAAGATGGAGTTTGGGGAGGATGTGGTCTGGCTCTTCGGCTCTGAAACGGAGATGAGCACCGCAACCCTAGAGTCGGATTCGACTGGCTTTCGAGCAAGGGAAACCTTTACCTTTACCTTTTTATCAGCAACTCAGTTAAACATACAGAGAGAGATTAAAATGTGGAATTCGCTGCCAGGGGATGTAGTGATGGCCACAGGAACAGATCGCTTCAAAAAGGGATTAGATACATTCACGGAGGATAAGCCAGCTGTGGTGTGGTGGTTAAAAGCAGCAGACTCTAATCTGAAGAAGCAGGTTTGATTCCCCACTCCTCCACAGGCAGCCAGCTGGGTGAACTTGGGTCAGTCACAGTTCTCTCAGAGCTGTTCTCTCAAGAGCAGTCCTCAAAAGAGATATCTCAGGCTCACCTGCCTCACAGGGCGTCTGTTGTGGGGAGAGGAAGGGAAAGTGATTGTAAGCCTCTCTGAGACTCCAAGTGAAGGCTGGGGTATAAATCCTCCTCTTCCTCCTCTTCCTCTTCCAGTGGCTACTAGCCATGGTGACTGAGGGGAACCTCCACATTCTGAGGCACTGAACATCTGAATCCCAAAGCCAGGAGGCAACATCTGGGAAAGACCTCAACCTTCATGCCCTGTTGTTGGCTCTCCAGAGGAACTGGTTGGCTGTTGTGTGAGACAGAATGCTGGACTAGGTGGACCACTGGTCTGATCCAGCAGGGCTCTCATGTTCTTATGAAGGTCTTGGCCTCCATGCCTTATTGTTGGCTCTCCAGAGGAACTGGTTGGCCACTGTGTGAGACAGGATGTTGGACTAGTTGGACCACTGGTCTGATCCAGTAGGGCTCTTCTGATGTTCTTATGAAGGCCTTGGCCTCAATGCCCTGAAATTGGAACTCCAGAGGAACTGGTTGGCCACTATGTGAGACAGGATGTTGGACTAGATGGACCACTGGTCTGATCCAGCAGGGCTCTTCTAATGTTCTTATGATGGCCTTGACCTCAATGTCCTGCTACTGGACCTCCAGAGGAACTGGTTGGCCACTGTGTGAGACAGGATGGCCCCTGCCACACGGGGGGGAAAAGAACAGCCAAAGTGCGGCTTTTTAGAGCCGCACCAAAAGAGACACGCGGCGGCGGGATCAGATAGATCCCCTGAGCCACCGCGCAGTTCCTCCCCGGCACGATCAGATGCCGGGGGGAAGCCACTGAAGGGAGAGCGAGGCAGCCGAACTGCGCATGTGTGTGCATGCACAGTTCGGCCGGGAGCCTCGATTGCTCCGGAAGACGGGCGCGCCGGTGATCTCACGGCCGCACTTGCTGCGTCGTTTCCGGTAAGTCCTGCTCTTTTGCAGGTTCTTTTTTGCAGCAGGTTTTCCGGCTGAAGGGACGGATCGGGGACGGGTGCGCGCCGCTTCCCAGAAGTTGCGGTTTGATCACGCCCGTTTGCTGCGCCCCCAATCCGCCCCTCTTCCGGGCCAAAACCTCCCATGTGACCGGGGCCGATGTTGGACTAGATGGACCACTGGTCTGATCCAGCAGGGCTCTTCTGATGTTCTTATGTTCTTTTGCATGCTGTGTAGGTGAACTTCCTTGGCAGTGAGATGGGAGCTGCAGTCCAAAGTTAACTGGCAAGACTTCCGATCTAAGCTACAGAGCAGCTCAAGTTTCTTAACACAGCCCCCATGTGCACAGGAGTGGCGAAGAAAACACAAACTGTGTTGCAAACCGCTTTGTTTTGCTGCGGCAAAGGCAGCTCAAACTCTTCGTCAACCCACCGTCTATGACAACATCGCCACTATTAGGAAACCTCCAAACAGACCTTGAGTGACACTGAAACATTAGAGGTCGAGCCTCAGCCTTAGAGCTTGCTTCATTCTGCTGGAAGGAGGAAACACTTCTTTACACAGCGAGACGTTGGTCTGAAGCACCAGAACAAAGTTGGAGTCCAGCGGCACCTTTAAGACCAACAAAGTTTTATTCAAGGTCTAAGATTTTTGTGTTCAAGCACGCTTCTTCAGATATCAGTACCTGAAGAAGTGTGCAGGCGCACGAAAGCTTATACCTCGAATAAAACTTTGTTGGTCTTAAAGGTGCCGCTGGACTCCGACTTAACCCAGTAATGGTAACTTTTACATTAATTTCCACAATCTCCATTTGTTATTTCCCACGTGTAGAATTCCGGACTGTGAGCTCTTTGGGGCAAGGACCTACCTCTTGTACTCTGTAAAGTAAGGTTGCCAACTCTGGGAATGGGAATTCTGGAGATTTTAGGGGTGGAGCCTGAGGAGGGCGGGGTTTAGGGGAGAGGGGTGACCTCAGTGGGCTGCGATGCTGTAGATTCTACCCTACAAAGCTGCCACTTCCTCCAGGGGAACCAATTTCTGTAGGCTGGAGATCAGTTGTAATGCCATGAGAACTCCAGGTCCCACCTGGAGGATGGCAACCCTATGTGTAAAGCCTTGCAATAAGAATTCTGGACGATCCATATCAGAGAGTAGAGCTTCTCCATGCAGCTTGAACTTGGGAGAGAGGGTGTGGGAGGAGTTAAGAGGAGATAGGTAAAGGTAAAGGTCTCCCTCGCTTGAAAGCCAGTCGAGTCCGACTCTAGGGTTGCGGTGCTCATCTCCGTTTCAAAGCCGAAGAGCCAGCGCTGTCCGAAGACGTTTCCGTGGTCATGTGGCCGGCATGACTAAGCCCCAAGGCGCACGGAAGGCTGTTACCTTCCCACCAAAGTGGTACCTATTTATCTACTTGCAATTTCTTGCTTTCAAACTGCTAGGTTGGCAGGAGCTGGAACTAGAGACGGGAGCTCACTCCGTCATGCGGCACCCGGGTCTCAAACTGCTGGACTACTGACCTTCCACAGCCTGCAGTTCAGCGTCTTAACCCCTTGAGCCACCGCAGCTCCAGATACTCACCATCTATTCCCGAGGCCTCTAAGCACTGGCTCATGGGGCCCCGACACTGTTCCTGGGTGATGTCCCCAGGGGCACAACCATGACTGAAGTTCCCCTCGCAGCTGTAGCATGTCGCCCCATTCAAGGGGAGGGGTGAAGCTTTATAGTCTGCAGGAGAAAGAACGGGACACAGTGAATATAAAACGGGAGCCAGAGGAGTATAGTTTTTAGAATGTTGGATGAAGAACTGGGAGACCAGGGGGGTCTTCCCCATTCAGATTTTCCTCGCTTGTGTGTCCCTATTGCGTCTGCACCCCCCCATTCCTGCATGTGTTTTGCTCCCTCTAGTGGCAAATTTGATATTACATCGCTATATGTCCGGTATGTGTCCCCACAGATTTAAACTGCAGGCTTTTATAGATCCAGGTGGGTAGCCGTGTTGGTCTGAAGTGGCAGAACAAATTCTGAGTCCAGTGTCACCTTTAAGACCAACAACAAGTTTATTCAAAGTATGAGCTTCTGTTTACACGCACGCTTCCTCAGATTCATTGAGACGGAAGTTAACAGTTAATATGTATCTGAGGAAGTGTGCATGCACATGGAAATTCATACCTTGAATAAACTTTTGTTGGTCTTAAAGGTGTCACTGGACTCAAAAAAACTTCTGCAGGTTTTTATGTTGGGCAAACAGTGAAGTAATATCGAATTGACCACTAGAGGGAGCAGAATGCATGAAGAAGAGGGGGGGGGCAATAGGGACGCACAAGCGATGAAAACCAGAATGTGGAAGAGCCACTGGATTTGAATTCCACACTCTGCCATGGAAGTTTGCCAGGTGATTTTAGGCCATTCACACACTCCCAGTCTAACCAACCTCAAAGGGCTGTCGTGAGGATAAAAATGGAGGAAGAGAGAATGATGTAAGCCAGTTTAGGTCTCTATTATGGAGAACAGCAGGGTGCAAAAGAAGTAAATAAAATAAAAAATTAAAACTTTCATTAAAAAAAACAGATGAAATCTCAATATCTTTCGTATATGTCAGGGTGGAAAAAAACATAACAGGCAGACGGGAGCACTGAAAATACATGCACTCTCCAAAGTTCTCTCCAAAATCAGGGCTCTATAGTTCCAGCTCCTGCCAACCTAGCAGTTCGAAAGCAAGAAATTGCAAGTAGATAAATAGGCACCACTTCGGTGGGAAGGGAACAGCGTTCCGTGTGCCTTGGTGTTTAGTCAGGCCGGCCACATGACCACGGAAACGTCTTCGGACAGCGCTGGCTCTTCGGCTTTGAAACGGAGATCAGCACCGCAACCCTAGAGTCGGATTCAACTGGCTTTCGAGCAAGGGAACCTTTACCTTTACCAGGTAACTTTCAATGGTCAGAACATTGGAACCTAATGGGTTTCTGTCTGCCAGGCTGCTGTTTGGCCTGCATCAAAGTGAGGGAATGAAATTGGCAGGACTGAGTTCCACCTATATTGGGTTTATGGTGCACACGTCTCAATTTACTGTGAAAATATAGGTAAGTTGTCTTGCAGCTGTAATTTGAGGCTAATGGTCATCACGTAGTTGTTATATTCTTGTAATATCTACTCAGTGCAATGTTAAATGTTTCAGAATGTTGACTGGCATAGGCTAAGCCAAGAGGAAGGCGGGCAGCTGAAACGTGTATTTTTAAAAGCCCCGGGGTGCCTTGAAGTATATTTTGGTGGTCAGCGCTTTGAAGCACTTTGGAACTGCCAGCTATAATGTCAGCTTGGCGAAGATCAGAGAATTGTCAAATTCTTAAAAATTAAAACACCGTGACGAGACGCAGTGTTATTACTGGAGGATTTCGAATAATAGCACACCGTGCTTAGTTTTGAGCTGCTTAAATAGTGGACGACTCGACGAGCACTGAGCGCTTTAGATGTCTTTTGGCATTTATGGCATTATTAGGATTACTGTATACTGCAAAACGATGAATACATGGTGTACGTAAACTACGAAACGATGGAACATATGATAGAATTCTGTATTTCAATATGGGATGCGCAAATTATGCAATTATGAACATATGATGAAAAAAATATATACCTAAAAATACACAAACTGTTTTTGTAATACTTTTTGCCTTTAGGATTTTGGTCAGCCATTGTTGCGGTGTATGTTGTTGCAGATACGCTGCTGTTAATGGCAGGGAACCTCGATGTATAGAAAACATGGCTGCCCCACTAGCTCCCGCTCTCCCCTTCCTCGGCTTTGAGGCTGCCCTCTCAGTCCTCCCAAAGGACACCGTACCTTGCGTCTCTTTGTTGCACAAGCTGGAGTTGCAGCATTTGATCAGGTAGAAGCTGTCCTGGTTGTGGAATCCCAGGGTCTCTTGGCAGTGGGAGAGCTGCCCACAACCTTTGATGTGCAATTCGTCCTGGGAGAACTCTACTGGAGGAGAGAGAGGACACTCATTGGGTGCGTTCAGACGGGGCGTTTTAGCCGGCATAAACCGGAGCAGTTTGATCTGGAAGAAATGCGATCACCAGGGGTCCTTTCCTGCAGGAGCGCACAGGAGCGGAGCTCCGGCAGTAAAGAGCCCAGGGGGCGGGCACATGCAACAAACCCTGCCCCCTGCTCCCAGCAGCCCCAGGCCACGAGGAGCAAGAAGCAGATAGGTAAGTTGCAGTGGGTGTTGCCTTCTGACACACTTCCGGTGATGTCAGGGGGTGTGGCATATGCAAATGAGTTATGCTAATGAGTTATGCTAATGAGCTCCTGCACCTCTTTTTCTACTAAATGACCCCTGGCGATCACACTTACCTCCTGACTGCGCAGCACATCGCAATATGCCCATCCACACTTCAGGCGCTCAGCAGAGCACGTTGGCGGGTTTTTTTTTCTACACAGTTTGCGCATGCGCAAAGGCAGGCTTCCTTATAATGAAGATCTTTGCGCAGGCACAGAACAACCCAACCCGGAAAGCATGCCTTGAAGCGAAGATGTCCCTTTAAATTTTTACTCTGAAACTGGCCTGCATGAGGTCCCGGACTTGTCTAAAGCCTTACACTAGGCCCCTTTTAAAAATTTATTTATTAACGACGGGGCGAAGCCTCGCCCAAGCGCACATCACATACTAAAAAAAAATGGCGGCCGAAAAACTGAATGGGGGTTTCCCCAGTCGCGTAAAAAAAATGGCGGCCGAAAAGCGGAAGTGGCTCTCCACCAGCGGAGAGCGATCAGACAGGGATACTGCAGTTGGAACCGGTGCACTCAGGATGCCCCCACTTGGGGACCTAGTAGCAGAATACAACAGTTAAAGGCTGTTTGCAATGGTTAGGGACGGAAGGCAGATGTTTGCCGTGTGATCGCCCGTAAGTACACCGATTCCAACCGGCATCTACACCGGCATAAATGCCCCGTGTGAACGCACCCAACGGGAATTCAGCCTTCCACCTCTAGGGGGCACCGATGCCAAAATGACTGCCAGTCAGGGGACAACAGCAGATGCACATACTAGAATGCGAACAGCACCAACCCTCCTATCGTTGCAATATAAAATTGCGCTGGCAATATCTAAAAGGAAAGGGGGCTACCACTGGATCCTAGAGCGTCAAGCCAATGCATATACATCACTTCCGGGTTTATTCTCATGTCCCTGCCTTCTAAAGCTCCCGCCAATAGCTAGCACTGGACTAGGCTCCACCCCTAGACACACCCAGGGCTATTTTTGGGCAGGAACACACAGGAACGGAGTTCCGGCTGGCTCCCAAGTTGGCCACACCCAGCAGGAACTGATTAGCATAATAGGCCACACCCAACAGCAGAAGCTCATTAGGAATGGCTACATTAGGGGTGTGTGGCCTAACATGCAAAGGAGTTCCTGCTACAAAAAGGCCCTGGGTTTTGACAACAAACAAGGTAACCAGAATAACAAGCAAAAGGTGGGTGTGGCTGGATAACCACACTTCTGGTAACATGAGGGTGCGGCCTAATGTGCTAATGAGCTGTGCTGTCAGGGGTGTGGCCTAATATGCTAATGAGTTCCAGCTGTTGGGTGTGGCCTATTATGCTAATCAGTTCCTGCTGGGCTTTTTCTACAAAAAGAGCCCTGGACACACCCCAAGATGAACGGGCTAAAGATCCTGCAGTGTTCCAGGAGACTGATTTTGCTTGGACATTCATTCTGGGTTACTTGTCTTTGACTGGTGTTGACTCTTTTTTTAGGGGACTGCTCTCTTGGGGGACAGGAAGGGTTGCAGATGATGAAGACCCACCTTCTGGCACCGTGAAGGATGTGATGTCCACACACTGCTCTCCGGGCCTAGAACAGCGCATCTGAGCCAGGGTGGAATTGAAGCAGGACTCATCGGCCGAGCTACAAGAATAGCACTGCTTGAGGTTTGGTGGGCGACCCCGGGCGAGGAGAACGTCCAGTACTGCCAGGGGAGAAAGCAGCAAAGGAAATCAATGAATTGCGTGAGCTTTGACAGATGATTCTGCATATGTTTCCCTAGGAATAGTGCTGGCACACAAAAACAGTAACGCAGCACACATCTGCAAGTTAGCAAAAAAGAAAGTTCACCAAGGTATTAGGGAGGGTGACATGGAGGAATAAAACAATGAACAGTCTAGCTGACTAAGCCACATGTTCCTATCTGATGTCGACACGAAGATGGATACCTGCATTACTAATCTCGTAACAAAGGGAAGAAGAAGAAACCCCAAAGTGCCTACGTGCAAAAACTCAGGCAACATCTCCCAATTACAAGGTGATCAATGACCAGGCTAAAGGTCAGTTTATTGTGCATAAGACCTTCCCCTTCTAGCAACTTCTACACCCCATAGGTTCTAGAAACTTCTACACCCCATATGGAGCAGAGGTCCATCAGTGGCTATTAGCCACAAGGTATAGATAGGGACTCTGGGGCAAGTGATGCTCTGTCTTCTTGGTGCTTGGGGGGGGGCAACAGTGGGAGGGCTTCTAATGTCCTGGCCCCACTGGTGGACCTCCTGATGGCCCCTGGTATTTCTGGCCACTGTGGGATACAGAGTGTTGGACTGGATGGGCCTTTGGCCTGATCCAACATTGGCATCTCTTATGTTCTTATGTTCTTATGTTCTTATGTTCTTATGTTCTTATGTTCTAATCAATGTTCCCTCTAAGCTGTGGAGTCTTGAGAGCAAAAATTCTACTTTGTGCGCTACTGGCATTAAAGTTGTGAGAGAGCGATTTGGCTGCTGCATCAATTAGTTTGCTCTGGAGCCCTCCTTCCTGAGCCAAGTCAAAAAATGCATGAGCTAGAGGCTAAAAAAACTGTGAGCTAACTCACACTAACTCACACTGGTTCTAACTATCAATTAGCATAGACAGACAAACAGGTTAACTCTTTCATGACACCAGGGAGAGAACCTGGCAGAAACTCCAACAAATAGACACAAACGTTCTGAACAAAAAAGCAGGCTAGAATCCATTTGAAGCTGAGCAGCATACTTGAGCCTGAACATTTATTGAGACCAGCGTCCTATCCGAATGTGTTAGCTTTCACGACTTGTTGTAAAGCACTTTATGAACAAGGGAATTTTTGTACCACCCGAGGAAG